ACATTAATCATGGTTTTGAACTTCTTGAAACTTGAAAAATATTTGAAAATATTGATGTTTGCACCTATAGTACCTACACAAAATATTAAGTCAACTTATAACTTATTAGTTACTAGTTTTATCTAATTAAAATAGGTACCCTTATTTATGGGTTACGGTGAATGTACACTATGCAAAAGTGATGGTTTAACGATTTTAAAATTTGTAAGACTAATTATATAATATTATTATAACTTATAAGTGTATGTTTTTTTTAATACAAATTAAATTTCTCATTAGTATTAATTTGTGTTGAGTATCTATTATGCACATATTTAATATGAGTATATAGGTAAGATAGAAGTAGTATTATTATTTTTATAAACTAAATTTATATTGATCAAGATAAGTGTTTTAATTTCTTGTAAAGTTATAAATAATAAATCAATACTTTGGATAGTAATATAAATCGATATTAAAAATTGTAAACAGAAATAAGGTCATGATGCACACTATATGAACGGATGTAATATTGTACTTTGGAAACGAAATTTAACTTGCTTTCCGATCGTCTGTACTAACAATTTAGAATCTAAACTTAAGATAAACCCCAAGAGTAGTTTATCATACATTCCACTTCCACACAAAAATATGGCATACTACTAAAAAGTCCTAAGAAAAAAGCCAGAGTAAAAATATCCGTGGTTAAAAAGTCCAAGGCATAAGAAAGTGGTAAGAAAGTCCGTGGTGGAAAATTCCGGAACATACATAATTAGACAAAAGGAAAAATACGATGTGATGCACAATCAAACTTTCAATTAGTATGAATATAAATTTTAACTAAATGATTTACCTCACGAAAATAATATTCGACATCGAAGTTAACAAACCCTGTATTTCAAATTGAACACAACCACTCAGGGAACAATCAAATGCAAATAATTTAAAACTTTAAAGACGAAATTAAATCATGATCAAGAAGAACTTGTGACAATAAAAGTCAGATATCTGGAAGTTGTGAGTCGAATACCAGCTGAAGCTCTATTATTTCTACCAAAATAAAGTATATAAAATATATTATTTTTATGACGATAGTGATTTAAACTGAGAAACCATTGAAATATACTATAATGTAGATTATCACATATATGAACCAGAATTTTTAGGCTTATAGGACTTATCTACTACGGTCTTTTTATGTTTCGGATTTTTTTTCCCAAGACTTTTTTACAGACTTTTATACATAATTTATTATTTGTTAACATTTGTATGATGATTTAAAATAGTTTTTACTTTTTGAAATTATAAAATATAATTATTTTACGAATTTTCAAATACAAACATCTAAATAAATATAAATGAATGTAGGAGTATATCTGTCTGTACATCGCTTATGCCACCATACGGCTGGACCGAGTTTGATGACATTTTGTGTGTGTGTGTTTAAGTGGAGTCCTGGATGATTTAGATTCACAATTAAACCCGGTAGGCCCAACCCGGAGGGTTGCTCAAACAGGGATTTTGAGATTTATGGAGGACATTTTTGCTTATAAATGGTTGTTATTGGCTATAGAAGAAATAATTAGTAGTAATTAGTATTTTTTGTATATTGCAGGTTGCCGTTGGTTAATTGAAGCATACATCAAATCGAATTTAACAACAACAAAAAAACATATTATTCATAGAAAGTTGGCATTTTTAATAGGCAACGAAGTGCATGGGCTTACGTACTGACCTAGAGAGGTCCGCCATCCATCGTAGGTGGATTACCAACCTGATAATATACTGTGTATATTAATACTGTAAATACCGAGTATTTGGTAATACATTTTTTATTGTATGAAAATGTAATCCTTTATTTTTAAATATGAATACAAATAATCGCAGAACCATCTAAAAAAATCCTAAATAAACCATTTGATAATTATTCTCAGAAAAATGTCTCTTTGTAAAAATGTACTTGGGTGATATTTAGCATACAGGATGATTCACCAAACATGCTCGTCCCTATTCTTTCCTTTAATTAATTTAATAAAATTCTGATATTTGACATTTTTAAGTATGATTAAGCACTATATTTTCAAATACTTATATTTTATGGCGTGTTCTGTGGTGCTACCGTGATAAATTATATGGATATAGTATGTATTTTCTACTGAATTAAATATATGTTTATTTGCAATGTTTAATCTGTCATTATTATTATTAATCAAGCATTATTGGTTTGAACGGTTATGTACATAATGTTTACTGTATAGACGTATAGTGTAAATATTTACATATTATACATACTACATAGTACTATCATTAAATTTAAATAATATTCCAGTGCATATATACTTAAATATACAGAAGGATTTACCGAGCATGCTCACCCTTTTTATCTTGTAATAATACATTTTAGAACATTTATTTTAGGTACTAATATTTTTATATAATTTAAAAATTGACACAACTGCTAACACAAATTTTTTTATTTTAAATGAGATTCACATTTTTTCACAGTAAATTGTAGAGCAGGTGGATTTTGTTTTAATGTTGATATATGATGTGTCATGTATCTAAACATCCTTAACTCAAAATGTAATGAGAAGTTTCTGAGAGTTATTAAAATATATAACATAGTAAAGTATAATACTTTAATATATTATACTATTCTATATTATAAGGATAATAGCCTTTAATAAAAGTTTTATATAATATATCTGGTATTTATTGAATATTAATCCTTAGCAAATGTTTACAATTTATAAAAAATAAATAAATGTTATATCTCCCACTCTCACAAACCTATTACCATGGATATAGTAATCTCATGGATACTCAAAATCGAATTTCAATTAAGTATAAAATATATCAACATTTTCTAAAAATTCATCGGCTTAATAATTTATGGTAGAAATTAATGGTTTTCTTTTGAAATTAAGAAGATTGTATCACCAGTCGTCCCATAACACTTCTTAAATAATATAAAAAAACCTAATTAGTAATTACCATTTGAAAGCATGGTTCTTAAGGTTTAAGTTTAAGAATATCATAGTTTCAAAAAAAAGAATTTGAGCAAATACATTATCGAAGGATAAAAGGGGGCTAGTATACTTGGTGAATCATTCGGTATATTTAAGTAATTAAATGTATAGGTAATGGAATATCATTAACATTTAACGATAATGCAAACAGTAAACATTGTACTTAACCAAAAAATATTTGATTAATAACAATAATTAATAATACAACAGAATTTATATATTTTAGCACTTTTAGTGTATATAAGTTTAAATCAATAGAAAGTTATTACTGTTGATATAATTTGTCATGGTAATGTGGAATCGTATCAAAGATATCTAGTATTATATTGAAATATTATAAAATCGAAACGACTAAACCACTTAACACTTTATGGTTTGAATAGAAAGCTTTTGAATTTTATTACATCTACATAATAACATAAAAACTTGTTGTACAAATAAATACATCAAAATACGATTGAAAAATATGATGGCTCCTGATTTTTATAATACTCGAATGGTCTTAAAATGTTTTGAGTTTTTTCAAATGTTCAAATGTTCATAATGAAACGTTGTAACAATGAATATTTTTTTTATTATCAGATATTTTCTTATTTTACTTGGATTTCTAAGCTGGAAATAATTGGAACAGGTATTTTATTTTATAAAATATGTAAGATGGTTACAACTGTTTATAAATGGCAAAGCCATAATATATGCCACCAAAAATTAAAAGAAAAAAAGAAATTGATATTGTTTGATTCATAATATAAAATTATTTAAAAAATGCAATTATATTACAATATTATAATACATAATATATTACTATACATTATAACATTATATTTATTATATGTAATATTATGCTGTTGGTATTGAAAATTCATCCACCCGAAATGAATATTTAAAAATACTTGGAATTTGGATAGAACTGCACTGAACAAGTCGAATTGAGTATTGACCGGTGATGGCATTGCCTATGTTACAATGTAATATACCAGAGGTCATTAGAATATAAAATGCGTTATCAAAAAACATCATACATTCATTTTTATTTTTTTACGAAGTCTTCATTTCGCTTTATTCGATAGAAAACACTGTCGTAAAATCTAAATAAACATAAACATCAACGCTGTGCAAACACAAGCTGACGTTAATCGCATTACCGGGAATTCGCATTTAGTTGGTAGAATGTATTTTACTATTAATAAATCCTGACCGGATTATTTAGCAACGTTTTTTCATTTCCCCATTAATACATAGGTGTTATATTGCTGACACATCATTCATGGCTACGTCATTTACCCGTCCACACTATTAGCCTATAATTCATATTACTATTAATTATTATTGGATATGTATACACTATGTAAAATACAATATACGACATATTGTGGGATATTTGCCGAGTCATTAACATAAAAGGATGTAAGATTTAATCCGTAACCGTAACAACGCTACGATCATGAATTATCTATAAATATATATATATAATATTAATACACGAACATATTATTATAATACATAATCAATATTATCTTCCCTTGACATATTTAACATTTTAATAATCGTCCATTTTTTTTTTAAATAACCTCATTATAACGTACACATTTTAGTGTCGTATTTTTTAACGAATTATCAGTAAATACTATGGATGGACAACCATATTGATTGAATTTTTCTTTCTTTTTTAATAACTATAGACAATTTAAAAAGGAGCTATAGGTACACGTTAATTAGCAATTAGATTAATTATATCACATAATCACACGTAGAACTTGTTTAAACGACAACAACTGTTTTACATACCTATACTACTTAATCTTTAGATACTTATTTTAATTTTATTTTTACACCTGTAGACTATGGTTATAACTCTAAAACTAACTGAATGCGAGGAATTTAAAATTTGTTAAAACAAAGTGTCAACTTGTACGTCTTTACACGATACGTTTATTGTTCTTTTTATTTTGCATTCCCCGCTTAATTATATAAGACAAAATAGGTACTAACCAAACGTGACGAGTTTCATTGAATGATTTACAATGTTCGTTTGATTGGCCAGCTGACAAGTATACACGCCATGGTCGGACGATGTCAAACTCCGCGTGTATATGGTTTGATTAGCACTTTCAGGATTCAATATGAAACTGGAGACGTCACCAGGCCACGGATAAGGGCGATTATCTTTGAACCTGCAAAATATTTAAAGAATGTCATTATTTCGTCGAATACCATTACTTTTTGTGTGTTTGTCTTAGGGATGTATAAACTCATTCATTTTTACATATTATACATCTGTTAGAGCAGTGATATGCTATTTATTTAATGTATGTACTGAACATGTACTAACTCAGTCCTAAGAAGCTACAATTAAGTGCAACTTGCAAGCAATAGTTTGTCGCAGTTTTCAATGACGCCAAATAAATATGAAACCATAAGAAGTTTTGCTAGTTATTAATTTGAACAAACTTCTGTGAAAAACAGAATTCAGTTTACGTTGAAGCAAAGGCTTCATTGATTGTAAACAAAAAAAAAGTTGTAAGAAAAACAAGCAGTTCGAAAATCAACGTGAGTTTTAAGTCTAGGGTTCCATATTTCACGTGCACAAGCGTTCACGTGATTCACCTTATTAAAGTTCGAATTATAAGACCCGTTGCCGTTGTTTAAAATTTTCCTTGAATTTATAATATTATTTACTTTACACGTATCCATGAGTCATTAATATTATTCATATATAATACCTAGTGAATTTGTGTACTCGCGTCTCATTTATTTAGTTATTTTAGTATTCGTAGGTTAAAGATGATTTTGCTTTTATCAAAAATCTAAAATACGACCGAATAAAAATACCGTACATAAAAAGGTTTTTTGCAAGCAATATTTGACCATCTTCTAGGAATCATTAGTTGACAATTATTTTGAGGGTTCTGTTACTGGACAGCTTCCCTCATCATATATATTATCGTGTAAACATTCTCCGCATCATATTATATCCTATTTGCTTATAATAGGTACATACACTATACAGATTGTATAAATTCTCTATATATTAAATTTAAAAGATCTTGTTAAATTAATAACTATTTATAGTCACTTAAATCTTGATAGTCTTAGACTATATCTTAAATTGTGCTATTTTTGATATAAATAATATTAATTTTCAATTGATAAAAATTGAAGTCATTCACGCGAATATCTGAATTTGTTATAAACGTGAATATAATGATTTCAATATGTATATTTTCACGTATTTTAGCATTTATTAATTCACTTGTTCACGATATCAGTGTACGTGTATCATATATTCATTTATGTTTGTATTCACTTAAAAAAGTAAGGCCCCTAAGGCTTTTACCACTACAGAACAAAGTACCTCTCAGCGACCAAATATTAATACAAAAAATGTGTAGGTACACAACTTTTAACTCTGCCTACAAGTTGAAAATTATTTCGAGTTTTTCCTCAGGTGTGCCACCCTCCTCACTTCATTAATGACCAATTAGCAATAAAGTAATAAGAAAACGTTTACAATTTATTTTCCCTTCAATATATTTCTATAATTCCAATCGTATTTTAAACGATGATGACAAATTTGTTCCAACGGTTACCCACAATACCCGATCGTCGTAATAAACGATAGGAAGTACCTAAACTGCGAAACCGGTCGTTACGTCGTATGCCCGATGACGTGTACCTATGCAACAATAATAATAATATATTATTATAAAAGTGGTACACGGTGCGGTGGCGATTGAGACGTAAGTACGGCACATCGTCTCGTGCTGTTATAGAGCGATCACCACCGCCGCCGCGACCGAGCCAGATCGAACCAGTTCGCCCCGAGATATTCGCAGAAACCGCCGCCGCCGCCGCCGCTGCCACTGAACACGTACCTAACCTATAGGTTATACCTATCGGCTATCGCTCGCGTTTAGGTCATTGAATTTGATGGATTGTATACATCACGGTCCGAGTGTCACATGGTGTTTACACGGCGTGGCATGAAGTGCAAATGCGCGATGTGATATGAGAAAAAACCGAAAGATAATATTGCAAAAAAACATAACATAATAATCATTGTCTTAATAATAACAACAATAAATTACGGAATTGAAGAAAAAATTGTGAACCGCATCAAACGAATACGTATGCCTTACAGTGGGTTTTCGAGTATGAACATTATTATACGCTCGTTATAATATCTACTCGTTCAGAGAAAAAAAATTGAAACCTAAATCTTACACCACTCGAGTTGCTTATATTAACAATTATCATGATGATTAAAAATATTGCATATTTTTTTTACAATTATTAAAAAGAAAAAACATCACAGCTAATTATATCTCATTGTATAGGTACCTATATATAATGCTTAATACCTACAACTTTAGATCATTTTTTATATTTAGAATTCAATTTTGCAGTTTATATAGATTAAGTATAATGTATAAGTTATAAACTTATAACTCATGACGTGTACATATTATGTTGTAGCCTGCAGTACCTACCTGATATTTAATAAACAATAGAAATATTGTTATTTCTCTGCATCCTTTTAATACATAAAAAATGACAATTAACGGAACATGGACCCACGTGCAAGTTTTACTATACAATAACAATAAAATTACTAGAACGAAGATCGTTCAACTCGATAACATGTATCTCCTATCTAATTTCATTATTCTATTCAACGGGTGCCATCGCACTCACGGGCTCATCAATCAATGCCAATCATATTATAAATAATATTTTTTCTTTCTACATTCTACTCTGATAATATTATAATGGACGGAAATGAGCGAGGTGTGTACCTACTACCTATACACTAACATACACCCATAAAACGAATATTTTTTAATCATTTTCGCTATACTGCGTCCACGCTTAATGTGTAAACGTCAGATGAATCAGTTAAAGATAGAAAAAATAATAATAACTGTGGAGCAGGTGAAGCGCAAAAAACTTAAAAATGATTAATTGCATCCAAATAGAAAAAAATCAACATTCGCATGATGGAATAAACCCATAGACATTTAATACAGCTCTCGAGTTATGTATCATTGCTTTAAAATATACAATAATTATACACCACCATAATGATTCATGATTCCGAGATACGTCTAGGTGAGCTTATAGAAACGCTAATAACCTGTGAACAAAATGTATCTGAACAGTGAACACAATTTGTTATATAGGACCGGCTAAATCTATACTGTAATAATATTAAAACAAAATAAGCTGGGGACTAAGCCTCTAAATTCTCTTCCCCTATATGCTCCTATATCTGGGACGTAGCTAATTAATTGTCTCCATGATACCAGGTATTATGTATAAAACATATATCCCGCAGCCTACAAATCACAATACTTAAAACTTGAGAATACACCGTAAGTCTGTGTTCTTTATTGTACTAACGACCAAATTCCTTTATTTAGTGTCTTATAAACAAATAGATAGCAAACCGCTTCTTCCAATGCCCTTAAATGACTATTTATTAATTGTTGTCTGTTTTCCACGCTGTAAAAGTAAATATTTTATTGGTATTTTATAAAAAATTCTCACAGTTTTACTTTTTTCTTTTGTGTTTCTGTATTTAAAATCAGTAATTTCTATAAATTAAAATGTATGTAAACTTAGTAAAATATACTTAAAACTTTTCGGCTTTCGCCATTTATTTTGTTGGTTTAAAAAGTTTTATAAAGTATTAATAATTGCATCAGAAGTGAAATATAAAGTTTTAGAAATATTCACTGCACGAACTTTGTTTTCCATTTATTTAAATAATATTTTGAGCACTATTTTATAATAAGGTTATTGGTTATACGTACGTCATACTCATTAGTCATTACTGAATAATTTAAAATTTAAACAAAATTTCTTATCGAAATAGTATTCTTATAAATACTATTAAAAATTAAATAAACATTTTTATTTTACAGCAATGGATATTAAAAATGTTTATTCTTTTCAAAAAAAAACCCGTATTAAAATATACCTACAAATTTGGATATCTAAACACAAATTCAATTTAATTCTGGTTTTAGAATAAATGAATAAATTACGTAATAAAATTAAAATCAGGTATTCCCTTTTCAAACTATTTTTTTTAGTTAAATTAATGCAGTAATTTAAAATGGGATTGATAAATTAAGTCCCGAAAAAAAGGTATAGTAGGCAAATTGGTCGTAATCCCGTTTCGCCACATAATTATTTTTGTTTTAGAAAAAGGTAATGAATTCGTGATTTGTAAAGCGATAAATATACTTATATAAAAATATTTATCATTTGAAACAATTTTAGTACTATACTATCTGAATTATAAAGTTACTGCTTGATAAATCACCAATGAAACGAAAAGGACACGCAACAATTGAAGATGACATGAAACTTTTACAACGTGGAAAACAAGTTAAAAGAATTTACAATAAATACGTTAAGCTCGAACAAAGAATTTGCTATCTTAAGGAGAGATTGACTAGCGATCTTCCACAGATGAAATGGATTGGTTATTTAAACAATATTAGTTATTTAATGAAACACGACAAATAATTTTAATTAGTTGAAAAACTCTTTTTGATAATATTTTTTATGATTTTGTCTTGTATTATTATGATTATGCAATTATCGAATTTATGACTTTATAAAATGTACTTAAAAATGGCGTATGCAATTTTATATAAATACAAATATATAAATACAGTTAATTAGTACGTAATTTGTAGTTTATAAGTTATAACAAGTTACTCGAAAATAAATTCGGCGAAATGGAATGGCGATAAAATAAATTCGGCGAAATGGTACGGCGGTGAAATGAAAAAGCGGCAAAAATGGGAGCTGACCGGTAAATTGGCTCTCGAAAAAAAATGTTAGTTGCCAGTAGGTAGGTACGTTCATCCCATTTTTTTTAATATATAATGATCTTTATTAAAAGTCAAATTTTATATTTATGGTATAAACTAAAATATATTATGTTTTTATAATATTAAGTTCAAAATAAATATATGGTATGAATAAATTAAAATATGTTTTTTTATAATACTATGTTCTATATACCTAAACTAAAAATATTATGTCCTCGGTATAAATTGAATAAATTAAAAAAATTAATTCAATTTCTATTATGATAATTCAATTAAAATATATGTGTTTTTTATAATATTATGGTCTTGGTAAAAACTTTAATGATAAG